AATTTTTGTCAGACAGGGAGTTATAAACAATTTTTGTCCATGAGCTTATAGAATACTGGTTTATTGAGTTTAATAACCGCTTCTATAGTCTTCCTATTTAGAGTATTCCACTAATTTTTCCTGTTTTTTAAACCAGTACCAAATAATTTTTTTAAATTAACAAATGCACATATTGATGGTGTCTCAAAATGTAAGTTCCATTCTGTACCTACACTCATCACAGCCAGGAGGTGGGAAAAATGTATTATTTTCAGTCTTCTGGAATCATGACAGCTATTAGTTAATACATTGGAGTTCTTACATTATTCAGTGTTTTTTTCTTAGCATCATTGTATGAATTGTTCCCCTGGTACTTGTTCACTTCAGCCTACATCAGTTCATATACTTCTTTCTGGGATTCTCTGAATCTTCTCTTTTCTTCATTTTCTTTCTTTTTAAAATATTTTAACTATGCTTTTTATTTAAAAAAAAACCTTAAAGTTGAAAGTTGTGCATTAAAATTATTCATTGTAGATACTCTCAATGTTGGCTTTTAAATAAGAACATTATCACCTCTCACCTGCAGTAGTGGCCAGATGAAACCCCTCTCCTTCCAGTCTTCTTCCCATGGTTTCTCCCTTCAGTCTATACTGTGTGCCACTGTCAGATTAAATCTTTTCTTTTTTTAAAAAATTTATTTATTTTCAGTTTTCAACATTCACTTCCACAAAATTTTGAGTTCAAAATTTTCACTCCATCTCCCCTCCCCCCAACCCAAGATGGCATGCATTCTGAATACCCCTTCCCCTAGTCTGCCCTCCCTTCTGTCTGTGTCCCCCTCCATCCTTTCTTCCCTTTATTTTCCTGTAGGTCAGGATAGATTTCTGTACCCCATTTCCTATATTTCTTATTTCCAGTTGCATGTGAAAAGTTTTTTTTTTTTTAACATGTGTATTTAAAACTTTGGGTTCCAAATTTTCTCCCTTCCTCCCTTCCCACCCACCCTCATTGAAAAGGCAGGCAACTCAATATGGGTTATACATGTGCGGTTATGCAAAACACTTCCATAGTAGTCATGTTGTGAAAAAATAACTATTTCCCTTAATCCTATTCCGCCCCCCATTTATTCTGTTCTTTCTTTTGACTCTCTCCCTCAGAAGTGTTTGCTTGTGATTATTCCCTCCCCCAATCTGCTCTCCCCACTATCATCCCCCTTCTCTCTTGTCCCCTTCCCCCCCTATTTTCCTGTAGGGTAAGACAGATTTCCATACCCAATTGAATGTGTATGTTATTCCCTCCTTAAGCCAAATCCTATGAGAATAAGATTCACTCATTCCCTCTCACCTTCCCCTTCCCCTCCACTGTAAGAGCTTTTTCTTTTCTGTTTTTTTGTGAGGTAATTTACCACGTTCTATCTCTCCCTTTTTCCTTCTCCCAGTATAATCCTCTCTCACCCTTAATTTTATTCTCCAGATATGACCCCTTAATCTTCAACTCACCCTGTGCCTCTATCTATCTATCTATCTTATACATACATATAATTTTTCCCTCCAACTACCCTAATACTGACAAAGGTCTCATGAGTTAAATATCATCTTTCCATGCAGGAATGTAAACAGTTCAACCTTAATAAGTCTCTTATGATTTCTCTTTCCTGTTTACCTCTTCATGTTCCACTTGAGTCTGTATTTGAAAGTCAAATTTTCTATTCAGCTCTGGTCTTTTCATCAAGAATGCTTGAAAGTCCTCTATTTCACTGAATGACCATTTTTTCCCCTGAAGGATTATACTCAGTTTTGCTGGGTAGGTGATTCTTGGTTGTAATCCTATCTCCTTTGCCCTCCAGAATATTATATTCCATGCCCTGCGTCCTTTAATGTAGAAGCTGCTAAATCTTGTGTTATCCTGATTGTGTTTCCAAATACTTGAATTGTTTCTTTCTGGCAGCTTGTAATATTTTCTCCTTGACCTGGGAACTCTGGAATTTGGCTACAATATTCCTAGGAGTTTTCCTTTGGGGATCTCTTTCAGGAGGAGATCTGTGGATTCTTTCAATTTCTATTTTGCCCTCTGGTTCTAAATATCAGGGCAGTTTTCCTTGATAATTTCTTGAAAGATGATGTCTAGGCTCTTTTTTTGATCATGGCTTTCAGATAGTCCAATAATTTTTAAATTCTCTCTCCTGGATCTATTTTCCAGGTCAGTTGTTTTTCCAATGAGATATTTCACATTGTTTTCTAATTTTTCATTCTTTTGGATTTGTTTTACAGTGTCTTGATTTCTCATAAAGTCACTAGCTTCCAATTGCTCTATTCTAATTTTTAAGGAAGTATTTTCTTCAGTAAGCTTTTGGACTTCCTTTTCCATTTGGCCAATTTTGCTTTTTAGGGCATTCTCTCCTCATTGGGTTTTTGGACCTCTTTTGCCATTTGGGTTAGGCTATTTTTTAAGGTGTTATTTTCTTCAGTATTTTTTTGGGTCTCCTTTAGCAAGCTGTTGACTTGTTTTTCATGATTTTCTTGCATCACTCTCATTTCTCTTCCCAGTTTTTCCTCTACTTCTCTTACTTGCTTCTCAAAATCCCTTTTGAGCTCTTCCAAGGCCTGGGACTGATTCATATTTTTCTTGGAGGCTTTGGATGTAGGAGCTTTGACTTTGTTGTCTTCTTCTGGTTGTGTATTTTGATCTTCTTTGTCACCAAAGTAAGATAATATAGTCTGACTCTTTTTGTGCTGCTTGCTCATGATCCTAGCCAATTACTTGAGTTTTAAACTCTTTGTTAAGGTAAGAGTCTGCTTCCAATGTGGAGAATGTACTGTCCCAAGCTTCAGGGGTTTGTACAGCTGTTTTCAGAGATACTTGTAGGGACCTGTAATTTTTCAGTTCTTCCAAGGTGGTATGATAAGGAGCAAGGTGTTTACTCCTTTCCTGGCCTGTGCTCTTGTCTGTGAGTGACAACAAGCACTCTTTTCTGTCTTGGAACTATGAGGATTTCCTCTTCACAGCCACTACAAGCTCCACCACGCCAGCATTCCTCCTCACTCCAGGACCACCACCCAGAACTGTGACCTAGATCCAGGCATGGGCAAAGCAAGAGAATCCTGCACCAGCAAAGAGATCCCTGCAATCCCCTTCTGATCAACCACTTGATTCCCCCTCAGTCTGTGGGCTGCCGCCCTGGGGCCTAGCTCAGGAGCTGGAGTTGAGACCACCTCGCTTCTCTCTGTCACTGCAGACACAGACTTTTCCTACTGACCTTCTAAGTTGTCTTTGGTGTTTGTGGGTTGAGAAGTCTGGAAACCGCCACAACTGCCCATGATTCAGTCTTCTGAGGCCTGCTGCAGGTTCGCTGTGGGCTGCACACCCAGGCCGAGCTGCGCTCCTCTCTCCACCGGGCGTGATATACCTTTCTGATCAACCATCCAGGCTGTCTTTGGCTGGAAATTTGTTTCACTCTGTCTTTTTGTGGATTCTGCTACTTCAGAATTCGTTTAGAGCCTTTTTTTAACAGGTATTTGAAGGGGTTTGGGGGAGAGCAAGTCACTGCTTTGTATTTCTGTTTTCCTGACACTATTCTTAAAGGACCTTGTCATTTTTTTTCTGTTCATCGTTGTTTTCCTGGATTCTCTTCCATTTCATTTAATGTTCTGAGTTAGTTGATGAGATCTCTCAAGCCATTATCAATCTCTCCTCTATTAAATCTATGATGATGGAGAATATATAAAGAAATACAAAGACATTTTGACAACTTTTCCCTAATACAATATGTTTTCAGAACTGCTGGTAGGTAGTGAATTCCATTTCATCTTAATTTCACTTTCTTATTCTTGTCTTTTTTTCTGCGATCTGGTAAAGGTGGAAAGAATCGGTGACATAGCCATGAAGGAAATACAAAAGCCTAGTTAATCAGCACTTGAATCTAAAGTGTTGATGGCACATGACCACTAAAAAAAAAAAAAGAAAAAATAATTTCAGCTGTTTAGAACTAGTGAGTAGGGAGTAGCATGAGTATCAGGCCTGAATTTGAATCCAGGATCTTTTACTAAAAAGCTTTGTGTTCTTTTGTAAATCTCAATGTCTCAGGGAATTAGTTTCCTAAATTTGAGGAAATAGGACTAGTGCTAACATCTTCTTAGCTCAAATGTTAGTTCTATAAAATAAACCTGTCTATATCACCTGAAACTTTGCAGAAATCAATTTGTAAATAATATTTCAAAGGGAAGAAAGATATTGAAAAGTAAACTTACTTAGTAGTCTTTTTGTTTTAAGAGTTTCAGGATCACTGTGTTGAGGATCACTTTGGTTAATTTGTAAATTTGAGAATCTGTATTTAGTGCTATAATCAGAATTTTCATAGATGTTTTTTGTGACTTTCCATTTAGGTTGGCACATATATTGAGTTTGCAGAAGACATGTAGACCCTGAATTCAGAATGACTATGGTGATAGTGATTAATACCTTGTAATTAATGGTTAATTATGATTAATACCATGGAGAAGTGATTAAAAGGAAACAAAGTAAATGAATTGTGTCATTATTTTAGTTTGTATGTTTTAAAAATTTATAATGTTTACTTTGTTCCTATTCTTCCCACCCTCCTTACTCCTCTGCTTCCAGAGCTGCCAGGCTGATGCTGAAAAGGGCAGATCCACAGTGAGGAATATCAACATTTTACAAGTTTAAAATATAGTTTTGGTTGGGGAAAACATATCTATTTCCATTCCTTCTGCTGAAGGTCAGAAATGACTCACCTAGATTCCTTCATTTGATGAACAGATTACATTGTGCTTTGAACTTCTAGATTCCCAAAGGCGTTGGAGAATCTGTCAAGTTGCTTGGAAAGTTGAGTTAGAGTACTAGCTTAGAAATGACCTTGGAATGATCCATGTGTAGAGTTTACTAAAATATACTACAGTGTGACTTAATTGTCAGTTACGATTGTTTTGCATCTTAAATGAACAGGTTATCTATTGAATCATCATTTTAACTATTTTCTTTTCTTTTCTTTTCTTTTCCAACAGTTGGACAGAGAGACTCTGAAAACATGATTGAAAAAGATGATGTGGATAATACTCTGGTAGCTACGTCAGCATCTAGTGTGCAGGATGTTCAGGAGACTGTGCATGAAATAATTGAGCAAATGCCTTTGTCAGAAGATAATATAGAACAGTTGGAGCAACCTACAGAATCACAATCTAATGATGTTGGATTTAAAAAGGTGTTTAAGTTTGTTGGCTTTAAATTTACTGTGAAAAAGGATAAGAATGATAAGTCTGACCCTGTTGAATTACTCACAGTCAAAAAAGATGAAGATGATGGTGTAGAAACAAATGGAGCTGATGAGCATCAAGATTCTGGTTTAGAAAATGAAGCTTTACCTAAAGAGACCGAATCGACCCAGTTAGTTGGGACAGATGAAGAAAATCAGAGAGACAGTGCCGATCCTGAGGAAGGCAAGGATTCTGAGGAAGAGAAACCAGAGAAAGTAGGCAACAAATCTTCTGAATCTGAAAGTATGTCATCATTCAAAAAGTTTTTCAGTCTCGGTTGGGCTGGCTGGAGAAAAAAGACCAGTTTTAGGAAATCTAAAGAGGATGAGCCAGAGATTTCTGAGAAGAAAAAGGAGCAAGAGGTGGGGAAAGGAGATGTAGTTGAAATTTATGAAGGGAAGAAAGAGGATACTACTGAACAGTCAACTGTTTCTGAACATCTACCCCCTCAGGAGGCCATTGAAAGCATAAAAGATTCCAGTGTGTCTGAGAATGAAAAAGTACATAGTTCTCCTGAAGATCAAGTTCAAGAAGCACAAATATCTTCTGAAGAGAAAGCTGCTCCTTTAGCCACAGAGGTGTTTGATGAAAAAGTAGAGACGGTAGCAGAAGTTCATGTAAGTACTGTGGAAGAGCAAGAGCAAACAGAAGATCAGAGTGCTGAGGCAGAACAGGTTGGTGGGTCTTTGTTCCTTGCAGCAGCTGCAACGAATGCAGATTTGCAGAAAGCTGAAGTGACAAAGAAGGTGGTCAAGACCAAAGAACTGGTGGGTGCCTCTGGAGATGACTGCGTTAAACTAGTTGAATTAAGTCCTGTAGAATCAGCTTTGTGTCAGCCACCTGAGGGCATCACAAATGAGGTAGAAATACTGTCCTCACAAGAAAGAAGTAGATTGCAAGGAAGCCCATTAAAGAAACTTTTTACTGGTACTGGCTTAAAAAAACTGTCTGGAAAGAAACATAAGGGGAAACGAGGAGATGATGAAATAAAGCCAGAGGAATCAGGGGAGCTTACACAAGTGTCAGTAGATTCTCCAGAAACTCCAGAGGAACAAAAGGGTGAAAGTTCTGCTTCATCCCCTGAAGAATTGGCTGAGGCTATCTCTGTAGAGAAGGGTATCACAGAAGCACCACAAGAGGTTGAGATTGAAGAAGAAGGTACTACTTCAGATGGAGAGAGAAAGAGAGAAGGTGTTACTCCATGGGCATCTTTTAAAAAGATGGTGACACCCAAGAAACGTGTTAGAAGGCTTTCTGAAAGTGACAAAGAAGATGAAGTTGAGAAAGTAAAGAGTGCTACTCTATCTTCAACTGAAAGTGCAGTCTCTGATAATCAGGAAGAGATGAAAGGACATGGGGATGATCAGAAGACAGAAGAACCAAAGCGTAAAGTTGACACTTCAGTATCCTGGGAAGCCTTAATTTGTGTAGGATCTTCCAAGAAAAGAGCAAGGAAGTCATCATCTTCTGATGAAGAAGGAGGGTCTAAAGTTGTTAGTGGAGATTCCCAGAAAACAGAAGATGTAGGAAAAAAAGAGTCTGGGACAGAAATAACACATATGCATTCCCATGAAGGTGATCAAGGGCAGATAAATTCTTCCCCTGAACTAGCTGGAAGCCCACTTGAAGGCGAGGGCATTTCCACATGGGTGTCATTTAAAAGATTAGTTACTCCAAGGAAAAAGTCAAAATCAAAAATGGAAGAGAGAAATGAGGAATCTGTAACTGTTTCTGGCATAGAACATTCTGCTTCAGATGTAGAACCTGCGAAAGAAGAATCTTGGGTTTCAATCAAGAAACTCATTCCTGGTCGAAGAAAGAAAAGGGTAGATGGGAAACAAGAACAAGTTCCTGTTGAAGAAGACCAGATGGGAGTTAATGAAGATGATTCTGATATCCCAGCTGTTGTTCCTTTATCTGAGTATGATGCAGCAGAACAAGAGAAACTTGAAGCCCAACAAGCAAAAAACACTGAAGCAGCAAAAACAAGTCTGCAGGAGGTGAAATCTGGACAAGTAGAAGGTCCAGGAACAGAGGAGACCATTGAGGGACTGGTTCATGCAGTTAGTGTGACTGTTGTAGAGGGGGAGAGAGCAGTTACAAATATTGAAGAAAGGTCACCATCTTGGATTTCTGCTAAAATTACAGAACCTGTTGAAGAAGAAGCAGATCAACTGGAACAGCAGGCTGAGGAGATGTTTGAAAAAGAAGTCTTTGTTGAAGTACCTGGTACTAAAACCTTGCCAGATGTAAAAGACACTAGCAGTGACACGATTGTTAGTGAGCTAGAGTTAACTTCTGAAGCAGTGACAGCACCAGAAGAGGCAGCAGAAATAACAGAAGCCTCCTGTGCAGAAGAGACTGCTGAAATGATTTCTGCAGTTTCACAGTTGACTGACTCTCCTGATACTACAGAAGAAGCTACGCCTGTGCAGGAGGTAGAAGATGACACACCAGATTTAGAAGCTCTTAAGCAACGAACTCAGGAAATAATCCAGGCAGTTATAGAAAAAGTTAAGCAATCAGAAGAATCTGAGATTACAGAAACGGTTGTTTCAGGAGGCACGCTTTTAACAATTCAGAATCTTGAAGCTAAAATACCAGAGAAAGTGAATGTGAAAAAAGCTGAACAAAGTGGTGATCACCAAGAGATCAACTTAGAAATTGGAGAAGCAGCTGTGTTAGATAACAGTAAAATGATGCATGCTGAGATGCAGGAACAGGTACAAGCAGCAAAATCTGAAGGTATAATGATTAATGGTGGGCAGCAAGAAATAATTGAACAAACACCTTCAGAAACCTTTGATATTAGGGAAGTTGAAAGGAATATAGAGGTGAAGGAATGTAAATCATATAGTAGTTTCACAACTTACCAAGCTGAGACTACAGGTATTGAAACATCACAAATTCCAATGGAACAGGTAACGCCAGTTGAAATAAATACAGATGAAGTTACTCTTGTGGTACATTTTGAAGATCAAAGTATAAAACAGCAAGAAGGCAGAGATGTTCGTGACTCTGTACCTGCATTAGGATCTGAAATTGTAGAAACAACAGTGGTCACTGTATCAAGTGATAAGCCTCCAGAAAGTCCTGGTTTCCAGTCTTCACAGGGAAACAAAGAACAATCTAAAGTGAAAGAAGTTCCAGTACCTACTGAGGAACAGATATTTGTGCAAATGGTAGAGAACTTTTCAGGGACTGAAGTGGTTCAAGATTCAGGACCTTTTGTTGATCAGGAAATGAAAGATACGATGACTGCAAAAGAACAGGTCTCTTTAGACACAGAAGTGATGGAGTTACTTGATCAGACAAAGATAGACCAAGTTGAACTGAAAGATGAAAAATCTACTGAAAGAGACAAATTGGAATGAAAACAATTCTGAAAAGGTTGAACTTCAGATCAGTTCTTGCCCAGCATCAGTGGAGGAAGAGGTCTCGGGTTCAGGAAGAGATAGCGTCCTCTGAAGTTCTCAAAGTTCAGAGGTCTGAGGCTCAAGAAGCATCTTTGCCATTAACAGCAGCAGCAATAGTAGAGAAGGCTGTAGCAGAAGCTGTAAAGCTTTCAGAAACATCAGCTGAAACTCTGGATTCTGTAAATGTTCAATTAGTAACTGAAAAAATACCCTCTGAAAGTATGCAAGACTCTGCTACAGACCAAGCAGTACTCATGGAAAAGCATTCTCTCACAGAGTCTGTACTTCAAAAAAAAGCAAAAACAGTGGTGGTGTCTGCTATTACAGAGACTATCAAAAGCTCTGGCTTCCTGAAAAGACCAGAGGAAGAGTCCCAGAAACTGTCAGATGCAGCCAGTGTTGAAGTTGTTTCTCAGGAAGTCAAACCAACTCTAACCCAAGTAGAACTTGGAAAGGATGAAGATGATATTTTGACCATCAAAACCCAGAGTACCAAAATTGTGCAAAATGTTATTCAGACTGCTGTTGATCAGTTTGTTAGTGCCAAAGATCTAGACACTCAGACTTCTGGACTTAATGCAGAGGAGCAGGCTCAGATAAGAAAATCTGAAGAGGAGGATATTATACATGTGTCTGAAAGAAATGAAAGTGAAGTTAAATCTGTTCCAACTGAAAACTTAGGGCCAGCAACTGTTGAGCAAATTCCAGATGCGCCAGTAATTTCTGGTATTTACAAAGAAGTCTCTGTTTCTGAAGGTTCTGAAAAGATAGTGGCCATTGAGGTACAGATACCTGATTTAAAGTCAGGTGAGCAGCAGCATGAAGAAACAGTACCACAGCTAGAAGGGAAAAAAGAAGCCATTGAAACAAAGACTGAGCCAGAAATTGACAGTGCGACATCAGGAGAAGTACCTAAAGGAGAAACTGAAGATGACATTGCAAGTGACCACTCAGATGATCCAAAATTAGTACCAGGGGAAAGTAATGACCTATGCAAAGAGTCCATAGATTCAAATGGACCAAAACTAAAGGAAACTGTCCAGGGTCTGGAATACCAAGAAAGACTAGCACTAAAGGGAGAAAAAGAAATTTATAACCAGTCAGTAGAAGATACCAAAACACAGACACAAGAGGAGGTACATAAACATGATGAGCCTTGTGAGTCTCCACCAAAGTCGGCACTTAAGGATTCCTGAGGCATAATGTAAGTACAGTGCCTTTTTTCTTGTAAAATAACATTCCATGTTTGTTATACATGTAAAATTTTATGTATATTCTAATTTGTTCACAATAGTCATATGACTGTTTACAACCTTGAGGAAGAGGGAGCTCAAAAAGTTCAAGTGACAGTCTTGATCCCCTACTCTAGGACATACATAGCCATGCTTCTACCAGAGTCTAATCCCATCTGAAACATTCTTTTAAAAATCCCAGCTTGTGTTATTTTTTACTGAGGATAAAGAGCAACAGTAATCTTTGCTGTGTGGTCCCAGTAATGACAATGAATGAATGAATCTTTGACATTGTTATTTACAACACTAAATTTGGCCTATTTAAATATGCAATCAAAGGCCTCGAGGCATTGTAAGAAATGAATTAGGTAATGGACATGTCGTGCCTCAGGTTTTCTCCCTAAGCCATTCAGTCTGGTTCTGAGAAGTAAAATTAATTTTTGAATGAGCTGTGAAAAGAAATTATCTGACTTGGTTTTGTTGGTTGCTATAAAGCAAATTTCTGTCATCCTAAAATAGCATATGAATGACAATAAGCTGACATTTCTGCTTCATTTTTAATGGTTTATTGATGCCGTTGTGTTTTGTATTAAAAATGGCCTTCCTGCCATTGAACCCACCCCTGTGAGAAAAGCAAAAAAACTAACACTTAACAAAAATGACAAAGAAAACAACATTTTCTAATGGTATGTGCTTCTTGTAGTTTCCCACTTTGTTTCTGAGGGGGGAATTGTAGTCTGTTCTCTGGAACCAAGGATGGCTACTGCAATTAATATGTCAGGCTACCTTGTAGTGTTTTTAAGTTGTTTGGAACATTGTATTCCTGGTTCTGCTTATTCCCATCTATCAGGGTTTATGTCTCAATTTTCTGCATTTTTCATTGGTCATTTATTATGACAGAATTATGTATATCATTATTTGTTCATTTTCCATTCTTCCGGCACTTACTTTGCTTACTGTGTTTTGTTTTTTTTTTGCCCTCCACAGGTATGGTTTTTGTGAATAGGTTTATATTCATGTTGCTCAGTGAGAAGTTGGGTGGCAGCACAGTGGGGAGAGAGAGTTGGTCTAGACTCCTGACGGCCCATGTGGGGTTATGACTCACAGTTTAAGTAGTGCTGAAGGGGTTGTGAGTGAAAGTTTACTAAGCCCTGGACTATAGAGTGAGGAACCACCTAAGTTTCAATCCTGCTTCTGTCCCATGCTGACATGGTGATTCTGGGAAGGCTCCTTAACCTTTCAGAGCTTCAAGCAACTCTTAAGAGTATGAGGGGCAGAGAAAAGAGCCTATCTGCATTGGTAGAAATTCTTCTTTGGGAGCTCCCTTCATTGATGATAAACATGTTTTTTTTTTATTGTTTGGTATATCGTTCACAAAGTATTAAAACTTATAACTCTGTAAAGTGCATGCCTCAGATATTGTTACTCCCATTTTACTGATGAGCAAAATGATGCTGAGAAGGGTAGAGTGAGTTGACATGGTCACACAGATGTATTAGGTGCAGATTTGAGCCCAAGTCCCATAGAATCTACAAATTTCAGAATTGAAGGGGGCCTTAAAAGTCATCTCTTCCAGCCTATAACTGAATCCTATAGCTCACTCAATTAGCCTTGTCTTAAAGATCTGTCTGTATAAACCTATTACTTCCTGAACCAGCACTCTCCCATTTTTGGTTGGTTCTAATTGTTTTTCTTTACTCAAGCCTAAATTTTTCTCTTTGTAACTTCCTATATTGCCTGATTCTGTTCTCTGAGAGAAAAAAAAAAGTCAAATCTCTCTTCTACTTCATAGTCTGTCAAATACTTGATCATAGATGTAGATTTTTTGCCTGTGTCTTCTCTTCCATAAGTTGCACATTTCCAGGATCTTCAACCATTACAAGTATGGCATGGTTTTCAATATCCTGGCTACCTTTCTCTTGATGTTCCCCATCTCATCCATAATTTCAAATGTAGCGATACTAAAAACTGAATACAACAACCTAGATAGGGTTTGACCAGGTGGTCAGAATAAAAATTACTTACCTTTAGACAATCAGTGCTTTAAGGGTTTTGAAGCCTTTTACATGATCTTGAACAGCATTGTTGAACAACAGCTCCTCTTAAGTACATGATATTATTTTTGCTTATTTAAATTTTTTTATTTTTTAAACTTCAACACACACAAAAAAATTTCCCCATGCAAAATAGATTACATATGAAACCATGAATGTGGATACAGTACTTGATTTCAAAAATATATTAGTAAATTCGTCCTGTTTCTTTCAAAGCTGTTCTGTTTATGTTTCCTTTTGAATTTCTGTTTTCTGCACATTTAAAAAGATTTTCAGTGATCTTTTTGCTTTAATTTTTGGGTACTTTTTCTGTTTTATTTGTTTATTTGTTTGTTTATTCAGGCAATTGGGGTAAGTGACTTGCCCAGGGTCACACAGCTAGTAAGTGTCAAGTATTTGGTCTGAGGCCGGATTTGAACTCAGGTCCTCCTGACTTCAGGGCTGGCACCACTTAGCTGCCCCTGTGAGTGCTTTTTTTGGTAACAACCTTTTCAGTAATTCCCCTTTCCACCTGATGGTCCCATCCTCAAATGGGAAAACAAAAATAACAAATCCACGCGTAGGCATAGTCAAGCAAAATAAATCCCCAGATTCACCTCAATGCAAAAATATGTATCATTCTTCACCTTGAGTTTATCATTCTGTTAAAAGGTAGATAGAAGCATTCTTTATAAGACCTTGAATTATGTTTGATCATAGATCTTAAGTCTTTCCAAAAATGTTTTTCTTTACAAGGTATATACTATCACTATCCTCATTTATAAAGGAAGTTACTCAGACCCAGAGATTAAATAAGTGACTTGCTCATGGTTGTAGAGCTAGTGTCAGACCTGAGCCTAGGTCTCTCTGGACTCCTGGCCTTCTTCTTTTGCCCCCCTACCACTTTGAATACAGTAGGACTATACACCCTCTGTCCTGTGCTTCTCATAAAGATCTTCAAGCTTGTGTTAGGTTACTCTCCCCTACCCCATCTACTTCCCTCCAACTCTATAGCTTTTTCAGATAAACAACTCTCCAGCCATTCTTCCCACATACTTTGTATGTGTGTGCTTGATTTTTTTCTAATACAAGTATAAGTCATCCCTATTCTTTAATTAGATTTATTTTAATTTTCTAGTCTGTTGATATTTTTGATCCTGACTTGATATCTGATGTGTAGCTATCTCTCCTAGGTTTATGTTTCTGAAAATTTGATAAAACATAGCATCTATCCTTTATCCAAGTTACTGATGATAAAACTTAAGCAGTACAGGGTCAGGCACAAACAAATGTTACTTCAAGTTGAAATCAACCCATTAATGACTTCTCTTTTGGGATTTGGCTGTTTTCGTGGTGGAATTGAGGGAGGCCTGGGATAACTTCCCACACTCCCACAATTCTAGCTGGGACTATTATGAGCTAGGAAGCTGTGGTGTAGCCCTGGGGCTGTCTTTTGTTAACTTTACTCCTAGGCGAATTGATCTGGGACTTGCTGCAAGCCCTTTTGGGAAAGAAGAATTTAAGTGTTTTTTAAGGACTTTGGCTAGACAGCTCCTGAGATGTCTGATTGACTGCTTTTAATCTTCTTGTCTCTTGGGACAATTATTCACTGGTCTAACTGTACTACCATTTAGTCTATCTCTTCAGCTTATCCGTAGAATATCATGAGAAATCTTTATTAAATTCTTTGCTAGAAGCTATTAAGTTAACTCTATCTACAGCATTCCCTTGACCCTGATCAAAAAAGGAAATAAGGCTATTCTCACCCCATTTGTTCATTGCTTCCTTTTCAGA